TGTTGCTGGATGGCAGAGGTAGGGCAATGGAGCCTCTATGGAGCTGGAAGTCCTACAAATACATCTTGTGGCAAGCAGCCAGGAAATGAAACAAATATCAGAAGCCATGTAAAGCCCTAAAAGAGGTATATAAGAGGCCAGGATCGCAGCTGGCAGAAGAAAGGTTTGCTGAGATTCATCCTGTATTCAAAAAACTAAAAAGGTGTAGAAGGTGCCTACGACTGTGTATTACTTGTTACTGAGTAGGCTGGTACAAAGAAGTTCCTCTGCTACGGACTTTACCTTGTTGGACATGGTTCAGAGTTTGAAGTGAAGTGTGTTTTGAAGCGTGAAGTCACTTCCACATTTTCACAAGAGATGCTGAGCACTTTAAAATGTCTGCCTACTTCGTTACAGGACCAGATTGGAGCCAAGCACTTTGCACTGCTTTGCACTGCTGAGATGGAGCCCAGTTGCCCTGGGGATGAGGGAATGTGTGCTGGAGATCTCTGTCCGGCACACAGGGGAAAGGAGAGGGGTGGGTTCAAGCTATTGGTGGCTGAACTTGCATTTTGCAATCTGCAAGTCCAAAGATTCATGGAATAAAATGACTTTTCTTATTGCAAGCACTGCTTAGCAAAGCAGAGCCAGCAACATGCAACACTCGGTATCAGATGCCAGCTTCATTCCCCTTTCCAAACTGTTCCAAAAGTTACCTGTCATTGACCTTTCTTGCAGTTGGAATTAAATAGTAAATGAAAGTGAGAAATCATCAGCCACAGAGCTATAGTCACCAATTTCTTCATGCCTTATGGTGGGATGACAGCCAAATAATGACACGGAACCCATGGGAAATCTCACTGGTTTCCACCTTGCAAGTGTTGGGCTCATGCAATTATGTTTTAGGACAAGGGAACTGTGGAAGTGGTCCTGGGTGGGAGCTCTGCTCCCTGTGAAGTGCCATCCTTGGAGTCTGCTTTCTGAAATGTTCACAAGATAATGCCACATCCAAGTGTCTCTGGTGTGTCTATGCCAAGTGAAAATGGTTAGTTTTCCACTGCAGTAAAGATGTGCTATTAAATCAGCAGGGAAGAGAGGGGCACAATCAGAACCCTCAGTTTTCCATGCTGAGGTTAAAAAATCACCAGTGTAGCACAGTGTGGATTCATTTGTCTGAGCTGACTTGTCAGAGAGACCTGGGGTGCTGGTGGAGCACGACTGTTCCCAGCCTAAGTAGGTGTATAGATGAGCTTGCATGTCTGGTAAGCAAGCTCTCGCCGTTGTCAGGAGAACCCAGCTCAGGAATTTAGACTGGATACCAATTTGCTGAATAATTTTGGAAGCCAGAGACCATATTTACAGCAAATATATGTAAATAGGCCTTCTTGTAGAAGAATATAAGCTGCTCTCAGGGAGTGCAATACACACTCCTTGAAGTTTTATAACTTTGGCGACCACACTTCTCCTGTGGAGATGCTGTGTGGCAAAGCTGGTATCAGTTCCGGAGTTGGTGGCAATAGGATAGGAGTGAGATCCTTCGCAGAATAAAGTATATCCAGAGGTGCAGACAGTATGAATTTCTACAGAACTGTATGGTAGCTACAGGCTATTTTAAATCTACATTTTTCAAGGCATCTTGCAGAACCAGCCAACCAAATATTTCAGGCCTGTGCAGCATCAAAATACAATTACTTCAAACCACCTAGGAGCAAAGCACGACAGTAGTTTGTGTTTCACCAGTTTCCTGCTACAAAAGCATGCTGTCTTCACAGTGATCTGAACTATACATTTGATATGCTTACCTGATGGGCTGGGAGTAATTCTGATAGTGGATAATAATCCAAATGTGGGACTGCTGGACAAAATTCCAAATTCCACATTGTTTAGCAGCAAAAAATACAAAACATGGCTTTTAAGGGGTGGTAGTAATTTAAAAGGCAAACAAACCCACAGCTGTTTAAAGGAGGAGAAGGGATTAGAGAGTTCAAGAGCATGCTGAGAGCGGAAGCCTGTCTCCCAAGCAAATGTAATTGTTTCTATGTCTCGGCCTCTTTCCGTGGACTTGATTTGGTTGTTGTTCTTGATGTTAGGGTAAGGGGTACTGTGTGAATATTTATTTCTGCCTGAGGACTTGATTTTAATGTAAACTTCCCAAATCCTGTGAAGTGGAGATCTTTGGAGAAATCTCCACTTGGTTTAGAATTCTGCACAACTACAAACTGTTTGGTTTCCCATTACCTTTTTGAAAAGTCTTAAAACGAAGAAACTCAGTGATGCATGAAAACCTGCTAATATTTATCAGTCGGGAACAAAAATCTTGTTCTAAGATAATGCAGTGAGTATGTCCTTCCATGTTACTCCTGTCCCTATATCAGTGTCCTCAGGGCTGATCTAGGTTTTGGCTGGGACAGACAGTGGGTGCTTTCTGTTGTCATGCTGCATCTATATTTTACAGCAGCATTTGGTAGCTTGGCTGATAGGGGTTGGAAACTACATAGATACATGTCTGCACTTAAGCCACCGAGTTCGTAAGGTTATTTGAGATTGGAGATAGTATCCTGCTGTTTGTGGTATGTAAAAAGAAACAGAGGTAGAGCACTTCATGTTCCTGCTGCTGGGTCTTGAATATTTGGCCAGCAATATGTACCATGGTGCTGTCTCGCTGCTTTCCAGCCTATTTCTGCAAAGAAGTTCTACTGTATTGAATCAAACTAGTGGCTGGAAAGATCAGAGTCCCTTCCTCTGTGAAGAAGCAAAGCTTGGAGGAAAAGGCAGTGTGTGTTGATGTCTATTCCTGCTTGTGATGGAGGTGAAGTGCTCAAAACAGTAAGATTCTCTGCCACCCTTTTGGTGTTAGGATGGCTTTTGGCATATGCTGGAGACCCGTGAATCCTCTCTTGAGCTGTTTGGTACACTGCTTTACCTCTTAGTGATGCTGTGTGGTCAGCTGACTTTCCTGTTGACATCTTCAGGAGGACTGGTCTCAGCTTGCCCAAAGTCTGTGAACAATTCTAGTCCAAGGTCCTCAAAAAGACTAGGTCTCCAGATTAAACTTAAAGCTATCTGTTTTATGGTCTTAGGGTACTTCTTTTGATTCCAGTGACTCCCTTTAGGTCCACAGGGATTTGTGGAGACTTTGTGGGTTGCTGTCTTTTGGTTCTTCAGTTAAATTAAGCTGTGCCTCCTCGGGGTACTACCTCCTCAGCAAAATGAGCATGCCGAAGGCCAAATGTAACAAAACCGCTGAGATTCCTTTTCAGGGATCTCAGATGCTTTCTGGCAGAAATCCAGATAAACCACACAGCTCCAAAATAAACAACCCTCTTCCCCAGAGCAGCTTCTTCCCAGTCTTTTTGCTTCCTCTGAGACTTCTTCAAATGCTCTTGGATGTAGAAGCTGTCAACACCTCCTCTTCTTCCCAGGCTCACTAGCTCCTGTAGTCACAGCCTGTCTGGGAACCTCATCAACCCACCAGTGTGTTAGGCTGGGGAAAGACAGAAATTGCTTCCCTGCAACCACCTGCTCTTAGGAGCCCAGGTGTAATTACCATGTCAGTGTGGAAGCTAACTGCTTCCCTTCTTCTGCTGAAAAAATAACCTCTTTCCTTACTTGCACTAATACCAGATAAATGTGCTTTGTAACATGTCTCTGTTCCTAAATCTGATTAATTCTAAGGTTGTTTAGCAAGGCAGGTGAGCTGGAGCTGGAAGTTGAAGCACAGCAGCGTGGCCCCCATGCAGCCCTATTGAAGTTTAGCTTTCAAACATGTGGGTCAGGAGTGGCCAAGCAGTAAAGTAGTATTTTCTTTCTCATGCTCCCAAACCTTGTCAGAGAGAGTGGCCTCTATGTGGGGCACAGCCAATTTTTTGCTTGTTGATGAGGGCTGCAATGAGGCGAGGCTGAAGCAGGTTGCAGAAAGGGTGTAGTAAGCTGCTTGGTGGGAATGGGGCCGCAGGAGGTAAGGACGGTGCGGAGGGTCCTTTTCTTTAATGGCCGTGGCCTGGCTTTGCTACGGAGTGTGACGCGGGATGAGGCAATCCTGATGTTATGACCCCAACCATCGCTCTTACTTTCTACGTCTTTATTTCAAGAAAAAAACACCAAACAAAAACCCACCGAAAGATACAACTGGAGTTTCTGAGCACTCCTTACCTGCTGATTATTCAAGTAAGGGGCTGCGGTGTGAGGGGACGAGAGGCTTTGGGGCTGATTCCTGTTCCTAACCAGGCGACGGGGCCGGTTGCTAGGGCCGCGCTGTGCCTAGCAACGGCTTACCCCGGCTCTGCGCTTGCGCAGTGAGGCGCCCCGCGCCGCGGGGCAGGCCGGGAATGCTGGGAGCCAGCAGTCGCGGCGGCGGCGGCTCGTTCCCGCCGCCGGTATGAACGAGACGGTGGTGCGGC